GAGGCAGGATGGTCCAACACACGTCTAATTTGCAACTTTGCATCCGCGGACAATAGCGCGCGAGAGACGTTCTACGCGCGAAACGCGGCGGAAACGGTGAATTCTGTGTGAAGTCAAATTTCAAATGGTAATTCGCAGGCGTGGCATGCGCGCAATTGGCGCCAACAAGCCGCGCACGCGAAATTAATAATCGGTTTTCTATTGTAAGGCGTTCGTGGAGTGATACCAGGAGAATCACAGTGAATTTTGTTGTGGAATTTACACTGGAATTGTTTTACATTAGGATTGTTAATATGTAGAACGATCTTGAACCGTAGCATGAATTTTGTTCTCAGAAGATTATATATCGACGATTTTCTCAATAATTTTGATATTTAAAATTTTTGTTCTGTTTTGTTTAAAGTTTTGTCCCGTGAAAATTAGGAGAAGATTATTAGGAGAGTTAGAATGATACTGAAATTTTTCTCCTCTCCTTGAAGCTTTGTTTCGTGGAGAAAAATTAAAAAAAAAAAAATAAAAATTTGCATTATGTACGAAATGAATTTTTTTTTGAAAAGATCCCAATTTTGATTTCCCTCTTAAGTTAGTTTTATAGAGAACAGATTAAAAATCAAAAATTTTTCTGTATATAAAACTTTTGATATTCAAATCAGAATGGCCCCAAAATATCGTCAATTTTCGTCGTACGAAATTGTATCGAATTCTATTTTTGCGTTAGGACAATTATAGTAATAAAAATTATTTACGCGAACATTGCCTGTGATCTCATGGCAAAGAAAAAAAAAACTGTGTCGAAAATTTTCTTTACATTTTTGTGGCGGGAAATTGGAAGAAAAGAATTATTATGCAAATCCTGACATTTAAAATGCATCGAGTATTACGAGGGAGAAAAAAAATCTAGTAAAACTCGTTTCACTTGTATTAATATTTATACCGTATAGATTATCGTTTTAATTCTCGTTCGATGAAGTATATAGCTTCTCTAGATGCTACGCACGCGTCGTTCAAACATTTGCAATTAATAAATTACAAATGTTCAAATCAAATTTGACTCCAATTCCTATAAGGTGTCCAACCTAACACTTGTTCTCAATTTCACGTGAGAAATATTAATTCTATTAATATTAATAAATTATTTTAATTATATATATCTTAATTATATTATAATATAATATATAAATATAAAAATATAATAAATATTATATTATATTAATGTAAGTTATATATCATTTCATTTTTGCATTTGCGTCAATCAGTTATAAATTGAAATAATAAATCCAATAAACAAATATTTTGATAATTCAAGCTATGTAAATATCTGTTTGTTGGAAATGAGTTAATAATGAAGTTAGCCAGAAACATTTTATCCTTTCATTATTGCAAATATTACCACAGAAATTCTATGTTACAATCGATGTATAAAGACACTTATTATATAAAGATTAATTCATTCGAA